GAAGGGAGGGAGGGAGGGAGGGAGGGAGGGAGGGAGGAGGGAAGAAAGAAAGGAAGGGAGGGAGGGAGGGAGGGAGAGAGGGAGGGAGAAAAATGCAATAAGCAAAAGTCACTGCCACTGGGAAGGCTCCTGAGGTTGAGAGACTAAAGTGTGTGTCCCGGAGATGGGAAGCGGTGAAGCAGTGACTCGCTTTGGCCATGCACACTTTCAGTCAAACTTACATTTTTCAGATTATACACGAGTATTATTTTGGTAATAACAACTTCAAATTCGTATTTAACATAAAAAAAATGAATGCTTACATCTGGGGGACTAAAGGCTAATCCAGTGATGGTGAACCTTTTGAGCTCGGCGTGTCAGCATTTTGAAAAACCCTATCTTAACTCTGGTGCCGTGTCACATATAGAAATTTTTTGATATTTGCCACCATAGTAAAACAAAGACTTATATTTTTGATATTTGTTTTATATATTTAAATGCCATTTAACAAAGAAAAATCAACCAAAAAAATGAGTTCGCGTGTCACCTCTAACACACGTTCATAGGTTCGCCATCACTGGTCAGTCCCTTCCCCCCCAGTAAGTCGGGCACAGGTTAATAATTACTCGGTGCAGACGAGCGTGTGGGGAGGTGGGCGCTGAGGCACCGAAGAGTAAAGTCTGAACTGGCGCAATCTAGCTGTTAGGCAATTTGTTAAACAGGGATTTTAGTTTTGTTCAATGCTCTATCCCAAAGACCTAGAACAATGCCTGGCACAGAGCAACCCCTCATATATTTCCTGAATAATGAAGAAATGTGTGTGCACTTTGGGGTATGAAACACACCAATAAAAATCAGAAATAAATGCTACCAAAATGAGAACATATTGCTTGGAGTTATAGATGCTCTTTTTCCCCCTCCTCCTTCTCACTTTTCTACAGATAACATTTGATAAGCAGCGGGGGGGCGGGGGGGAAGCAGGGAGTTTCGGTCCCTACCAAATATAAACTCAATAATGTACACTTACCCCAACCATTTTTTTAAAATTTCACTATCCGTATTTTTCGTTTTCTGTACATTACATTTGGTTTTTGTTCAAATAGACATGTCTCTACTTCCTACTTTCCTCTTTAACCACAATGGTTTCTTTTCCCTCTTTTATCTTTTAAACAAACCAATTTTACCATTTCAGGACATTCTATTATCTCTAGTCCTTGGTTCTGTTTCTCTACTTGTAGTGCATGCTGACTCCTTCCATAGAATTCCCTTCCTTTTCATCGTTTATACCATTTACTGTGAGCTCACAGATCTCAGGGATTACTGATTTATTTATTCATAGGGGAGCCCTCTGTGTCCTGGGCTGTGAAAGGGTCCCTTTCACAGGGTGGTTTTGCACTGACTTTGGCACTAACTTGCAGGCTTTTACCCATCCAACACCAGTTTTGTGTCACTTTCTAGATTCACGTGAAGATACACTTGGACACTTGACCTCCACCCCACCTGTGCTGCAGGCTTGGGTTTCAATTCTACCTGAGTGACCCTCCCCCTGCCCTCGCCCCCCTCCCTCCCTGCCCTCACCCCCCAACTCTGTAAAACCATGGTGTCAACCCCCAGCCCCATCTCCTCCTCCCCTGGCCTCCACCATTTAAGCTATGTGCCCTCAGGCACATTCTTTAATATCCCTGAAGTTCACTTCCCTTATCTTTAAAATGTTTATGTATCAGTAGAGAACACGGGAGAGAGATTTTGTAAACTTCCCACTGTTCATGTAAGAAGTTAGCAGATTCCTCTCCTTAGCATCCACAGGCCTGTCACTCCCTCACACTTTGGTAAGTCACCTGTTGCCCCTACAAGCTGAGGAAGGGACAGTCTCACTCTTCTTCAGAGGCTCCCTCAAGCATTTCTTTCTTCTGGACTTTGACCAAAAGAGACCAACCGAGCCTGGCCACTGATGCTGCCTTAGGAAAACTTCAAAGAGCGTACCTTCCCACAATGAAGCCACCCGTGTATTCTACCTGAGTAGTTCAGAAAGCCATGCTGGCCATGAGTACAGCAATCAGAGAGGAGGGGTGTGGTCAGAGGCAAGTCGGAAGGCATTCTCACCTACCCCCTAACGAATACAGGCCTATGGTTAGCCCAGGTGAGGCTCCTACAGTCCCTCCTTTCCTCTCTGCAGTTCCAGGAATGTTCTAACAGCTGACTGGAAGGGAAGAGGTGAACCTACCACTGGCGACTCGTCACCTCCTCATTGAGTCACAGCACAACTGACGTCCCACTCAGCCCAGAGCCTCTCCACAATTGCCAACACTGCGCCAGCCCTGGAGAAGCTCGTGGAAGCTGTGGCCACCCCCAGGAAGCAGCAGAGAACAGACGCCAGAGAAGCATGGCCCCTCTTTCCTTGCACTGTACTGATGAACAGATAGTGAGAATTCAGATTTTAATTCCCAGCCACAGGACTCTTCCCACTATCCACATGTTCTCCCATACTCCATCCAACACCCTAAGTGGTGGTCACTGGTTCAAGATCCCTGCAATAAGCAACAGCTTGCAAATAATCTTGACTCGTTTTCCCTGGAACCTCCCACCTGCACCCAGGTGAAGTCCCTGCTCAGTGGCAAAGTCTAAGGCTCTCTTCCTAGAGCAGCGACACTTTCCCTGGGCCTACCTGGGGATCATGAGCCCAATGAGCTCACTGATCTCGGTGATGCCACCTGAGTATCACTGTCAGCATTTCTACTTCTCCAGTGGCTGTTCCTGGCGCACTAAGATAGTTCAAATCTACTTACTTAACCCACTTTTAAAAATCCTGTGTGTGAAGAGGTATGTCTACCAATCAAAGTCAAACAGAAGCACTGTCCTACTCTCCCTACTGCCTTTCCCGATGGTCTTCAAGTGGGAGCAGTGTTTTGCTGACCGATGAATGGTCTATATAAGTCAACTTCAAGAGTATTTTTTAAATGATAAAAATGTGCCATCATTTTTTTGTGATAGCAAAAGACTTTCCAAAATCAATAAAAACTTGCATCTTTTATCCTCTTATGGTAAGCAACAGCATCTGTTGCCCATTCCAATTTCCTGATCAATCCATCTTGATTTATCTATCTAATCCAGTACTTGGCACTTCCTTTTCGCATAACTGGGTAAAATGCAACTCCTTTACCCTGCCTTAGAAGGCCCTACAAGATTCTGCCCCTATCCTTTTTTATGTAATCCTCTCTGGAGGATATTTATTCCATTGATTTTTAGAGGGAGTGGAAGGGAAGGAGGAGGAGGAGAGAGAGAGAGAGAAACATCGATCTCTGAGAGACATATCAACTGGTTGCCTCCCACACGCACCCCGAAAGGGGCTGGGGATGGAGCCTGCAACTCAGGTACGTACATGCCCTTGACCAGGAATCAAACCCTGCCTAGACCTTTCGCTCTAACCAACAAGCCAAACTGGCCAGGGCTGCCCCTTTCTTAATGGTTATCTTTCTAAACTTATCTCTCACTGATATGCTTTACAAACCAATCAGGCTAGTTTCCTCCCTGTTCCTCAAACAATTTATGTTTTCTGCCACCACACCCTTCCTCATACCATGCCCTGTCCCAGAACTCTATCAGGATCCTAGTTATTAAGAACCAATTAACTTCCCCTCTTCCATGAGTCCTCACAAGCACAGCTGACAGTGAGCATCCCCTTCCTTCAGTCACTCTCAGACACATTTCCCACCGGCCAAACAATAAGCTAAAGCGCAGGAACTGCATCTTCTACTTTGTACCCTCACAGTGCCCAGCACATACGTGCTCATTCAGTATATCTGGTCAATAAATGCATGCACATATTCACACCTGCAGAATAACATCACACAAAACAAGCAATACCAACCATTTTTACCAGGGCAGATAAGGAATGGGGGTTTAAAATGTCATTTTGATTTGCCTCCGGTACACAGGGAAAACTATGCAAAACCTATGAGTAAAGAAGAACCAAACTCCACCCACCAGTAAGTCAGAGGATATGCAGACATTGGATTTACATAGCAAAGTAAAAATCATGTTTTATCCAAGTCAAAACAAGCTTTATCAGCACAAAATCACCATGTGGCATTCCAACTTAGGGCTATGTCAAGAAGGAATATTGGAGTGAGTCTAATCAGTCTCCCTGTCTGAGAAATGGTGAATAGATGACTAACTGCCCCAAACCGAAAGCCCCGAACAGTTAGGGATTTATGGTCCAAGATAAATAGCAAATCGGGACCTGTGATAAAACCTGAATGATTTTTTAAAATTAACTTAGCTGTTTTAAACTTTACTAACAGTCCCCAACTATTAAAATATCTAGTAGACATTCATTATTAAGGAAAAGGGATTATTAAATGGCCGTGTATACACTGCATTCTTGATATACCCAAATATTTTGGGGTCCACTATATAATCCCACCGAACATATATCAAATGTATTATTTGACTTTTTCAACTTAACAACAACTACATTAGCTCACATTCCTTGTCCACCCAAAACAGAAATCAGTCTCGGACAGTGAGGAAAGTCAGGTCTGTCCTTCTGAACGTCAACTTCAAAGGTCAGGGATATGATGATACTAGCAGGAGCCAACACTTTTATAGCAGTTACTACATGCAGAGTGTGGTTCTGAGAGCCTTATATATGTCAATTTACTTAATCCTCAAAAGAATTCTGAGACACGCTTCACTATAATCTTCCTTTCCAAGTAGAAAAATAAGCCACAAATACATCAGATAACTTACTCACGGTCACACATCCCATAAGTTACAAGGCCAGTTTCAAATTCCAGAAGTCTAGCTCCAGAGCCCAGGCTCCTAATCACACGCAATATCCCTTTCCTAATTCCCGAGACATGCTAACACCCCCTGATGTAGAATTCAGAAATGCAGGATGTGACCCTTGTAGTCTGTTCTAGGTGATTTCAAATGGGTGCTTGAAGCATTCACAGCTCCTGAGATTTTCCACCCTCTAGTTTAATCAGTGACTTGAAAGAGGAGGGAAGGGAAACACTTACTAGTATCTGGAGTTTTCTCTTCAGATTTGCCAAATAAAAATTCATATTTGGCCTTGGCAACACTCTGGGAATGTGCTGATGCATTGTTAACCCAAACAAACGTCTCTGCCTGCAAAATCAGAAAACAAAGGCGTAATTAAAATACATCCTAAAGCAAACCGACCAATAAGAAGTTGGTTAAGCAATGACTTGCTACAGTGCTACACAGCCACTAAACATGAAAAACACCCTGCCAGAAGTCAGAACGCAAGAGGATGACTACAAGATTACAACTATGTAAGAAAAGATAAACACATGAACGTGGATGAGGAAATTAAAAAGCATGAAAAGTTTGGCTTGATTGGAAGGCAGAATTATGGTAGAATTTTTTAAAATTAGGTTTACATTACTTTTTTTTCGATTAGACAACTGTTTTATTTTTAGACAATTCATTTTCCAAACAATTATCTTACCCACAGCCCAAAGCAGGAACATTTCTGCTATGTGTGGGATCTGCTAAAGTGCGCCAACAAAAAGGAGTCTTTCCCCAAAAAAGACCACATTGTTATTTAATCCAGAACCCCATTCAGCCAAACAAGGCATAGAAGTGCCCAGCATCCCATTCACTCTAACTGTTTTAAATTTGAGATTTGTTCCAGTGGCCTCTGGCATTCTTAAAAGTTGCTTATTTGAAAGAAACATTACACAGGTGACTGTGAAAGTAGTTCATGCCTGATTCTGAATTCCTACAATCTTCTTCCTCGTTGCTTTAGACAAATGACACAAAGCGGAAGGCCTCTCTTCTCTGGACTACGATTGATTAAAAATAAGTAATAAAGTAGAAATTTCAAAACATAAAGAAAGTTGACCTAGTCCACTCTGCTTCTTTCCCATCCAGACATAGCCCACACTGGTTTCTACCCTCTAATGAGACATGTTTACCATGTCTGTGCAGCAAATGACCATTCACTTTAGGAGAGGGGGATATGAAGAGTTTTATCAGCAACCAGGCAACTACTTCAAAGAGGGAAACTTATGACATCTGTTGTATCCTTTGTAGCAGAAATGATGTGACAGTAGTAAGAAGGCCCATGATTGGGCTGTGATGAACCCCTCACCCCACTGCAGGCTCAGTGGGCAGGCCTCTCTTTGTTCTTGTACACTGATATCAAAGGGCTAACTTGTACAATGTTGAGATTGGCAATTTCTTAAAATAGCTCTATAATCACTTAATGTTCATAATGTGTAAAATACATCTTTGGGGGGAAAAAAGGTGCACACTCCTTTTGGAGTTACATGCTTGATAATCACAGGTCTTTAATTACCCTTTCCCCAGTAGAGAAGAAATATTAAAATTTTGTGTTTAGGGAACTTCGGGCTGGTAAAAAGAGGAACTTGGTGTCCCAATTTAGGTAGGTTAGTTAGGGAAGACCCTCTAAGGAACTAATACCCGCAGAGTCTGGAAAGATGAGAGGCTGGAGAAGGACAGAAACATCCATGTAAGCAGCCAATCCATGATTCTCTCTCATCATTGATGTTTCTCTCTCTCTCTCCCTCTCCCTTCCTCTCTGAAATCAATAAAAATATTGAAACAATAAAAACTCACTCACTCAAAACCAAGACTTCATTTCAACATTCACACTCCACATCTTGTCCAACCCCATCTGCTCCTATCACTCAGCAGAAGTCAGGCCCATGGAAACAGGGCACCACACATGCCAACTTCAGTGCGGGCAGGGACTAGCAGCTCAGTGCTAAAGCTACGAAAGGCAATGGTTAGGTGTTACAGGGCTGAAATGTGTCCCCAAATATTTACATATTGAAGCCCTAAACCCAGTGCCTGCAATGTGATTCTATCTGGAGACAGGTCTATAGGGTCATTAGGATGAGTCCTAATCCAATATGACTGGTGTCCTTATAAAAAGGCCACAGACACCCAGAAGGAAGAGCATATGAAGAAACCGGGAGAAGGCGGCCATCTGCAAGCCAAGGAGAGAGGCTGCAGAAAACACAAACCCTGCTGACAGCTTGATCGTGGACTTCTAGGCTCCAGATCTGTGGAAGTTATTTTTGTTCTGGCTGTCTAAGCCCCCCAGTCTGTGGTTCTTTATTAGTGCCGTCTAGTAAAGTGACACGGTAGAGAAAGCTAAAGGAATAGGAAAGGAATGAGAAATTGTTTAAGATGACAGGTAATTTAAATCCTGGTAAAAGGGAATACAGAACCTATCCAAGTCACACCACAGAATACTCAAAGGGGAGGTGGGGAGAGGAGTGACTGACACAAGTAGGACTGGTGAAAAGGAATGGTTATCAGTTAGATCCTAGATCCCTTCCTCTACTCCATTAGGCAATGGCACCTCCCCACCCAGGCACAAGAATAAAGCTTTATTCACTGGAGAGATTTTCCAAAGAACACCTGGCCTGAGGACACCACGCAGAGCTGATACAAGGGTGCCACAGTGGATGGGGGATTCGTTTGCTGGTTGAGGTGCTTTGGCTGCTCTCAAGCAGCCTATGGAATGCACCTACACTTGACCCTGCAGGCAGGAGATCTGAAGAGCCTCCTCTGCAGAATGCAACCTACCCAAGAAGACCCAAATAATTAAATCAGGGGCCACTAACAAATGCCTAGCCAGATCCTCCTACAGTGAAGCTTGGAACTTCCAACTGGCTATTTAGAACTCACATTATATTCCTTAACTTTCATGACGGCAATGTGTTTTGAAAATTACAGGCCAGTTACTTAGAAGAGTATTCTTCAGCTTCGGTTTGTCGTTACATTCCCTGATGAAATTCAGATTATGAATCTTTTACAGGGCTATCCCAAAAGTGATGGTGCTCTCTTTGCATCCTATTAGAGGTCCCGGACTTTAATTTGTCCCATTACTGATCATAGTCACTTTGATTTGCCAGGCTTCTCCACTGCCAACTTAAACTTTTCCTCTTTGTCATTAATTAGATGCTGTGGAAAGACACTTAGAAACTAGAAATATCCTGCTCCTCATTGGACTTTCAGATTATAAGTTTATTTTATCAATATGAACTGAATTTACTATTTTATCCAATGGGTTGTAATCCACTATTATTTATTTCAGTGTCTGAAATGCCTAGTTTTGGTCCGTGGAAGCTCTTTCTAGCTGGCTTCGGTGTCTTTTTCATATGTCTTCATTATTCTCTGAACACTTCTTTACTTTCTGGTATAGTAGGATGCTCCAGGCTTCTTCTCTCTGGAATCAGCCTTTTTTTTTTTTTTTTAATAAAATAAAATATAATAAAAACTTGGTCCCTTTTAGTGAAGAATATTATTTGGGATTTAGATACAAGAACTAGACATTGGGTGGTCAGGTATGCTCATTGCTATTTGTTGGGCGGGAGTGGGGGGCGGGGAGGAGAAAGGGAGTACCTGCTCCTAAACCAGCTCAAGGGACAGAGATAGGGAATTTAAACACACGTACACCCACACTTGCTGAAGGCCGAGTAAGGGCCTCCCAAGATGTCCACATCCTAATCCCTAGAACCTGTGAATGTTGTTTTATGTGACAAAGACTTTGAAGATGTGATTTCGCTTCCTGATATGAGATTATCCTGGATTACCTGGGTGGGCCAAGATTTGAGACAGAAAAAAAGAAAGTCAGAGGAAAGCAGAGTGAGGGGAAAGATACCATGCTATTAGAAGGAGAAAGGGGCCTAGAGCCAGGGAATGCAGCTCTCGAGGCTGGAAATGGGAAAGAAAGGATTCTCCCCTGGAGCCTCCAGAGGAACCACTGCCCTGCTGGCACCCTGCTTTTTAGCCCCCGACACTCATTTCGGACTGCTGGCCTCCAGAGCTCTAAGGGAATCAATTCTGTTGTTTTAAGCCACCAAGTTTGTGGTACTTTTGTTATAGCAGCCATAGGAAACTAATACAGACACACAGAGAAATTTACATACAAATATATATATATATATATGGTTCACTTCTACATCTATCTAATAAAAACACCAGGAGTTCACATGCATATTTTTCCAAAGTATGCTTCTGCTGCTTTCAAATATAAATAAGTGTGTGTGTTTTTTATTTTTTAAATGAGTGTCTTTAATGAAATAACCATTTAACGAGTAGTTTCTATTCCACCTATATTGTTTCTTGTTATTGCAGTTCATCCAAATACACTTTGCTCTTCCACTATAATTAAATTTTTATTGCTGAAAAACAAACAAAACATCAATTCCTTTAGGCTATAAAGAAATTCATATCCTGTCATGTGCAGCATTTTTCCCTTTAAAATTATATTTGACATATGCCTGCATATAAACAAGCAGAAAAAAAACATGGGTGTTTGAGAAGAAGGTCAACCCCTTCTTCTCAAACATGTTTAATGCAAAATCCCCTACAACCAGCCCCTACTCCCCGGATAGGCTAACTGGATTGATCTTCCAAAGCCAAGTGCAATTGGGACAGAGAGGCATCTGAAGAGTAGAAAGAGGCCAGAAACAGCCAGGAGACAAGTAAGGTAACAGAAAGGCCAAATCTTTGACTTTTAAAGGTTAGAAACAGCATGAAAACCCAAGGGCAGAACAGGAAATGCGGCTTCCAGGCCAAGGAGAAGACAGCAGGACACAGACTAGTTCCTCCCTACTCACTATCCAGCCCTGCTGCCAGCCTGTTCCAACTGTGTGAGCACAGAGAGGAGAGCTGAATTCATGGCCCTTTTAAAAGCCCCCGGAGGTCCATTCTCATCTTGCCACCAGCTGCTGTCTGTTCACTCAGCCCATTTCCTGAAAGCATACTCCCCTGGGCTGGGCAAGTGGGGGTTCTGCTGCTCCTCCAGGCTGGGAGCTGGGAAGCCAGCCCAAGGGGGGTGGCAGGGGGCTCCAGGGCAGAGACAGAGTCACAAGCTGCTTCCCATTGCCAGGCCCGTGAAGTCAGAGGGAAGGACAGAAAAGGAAGCCCCTGGCTGACTCCAGGACCCTTCCCTTGGTAGTCTGCATCCTGGAGACATGTTAGTTGTCTTCAGACCCAGAGGGAAGATTGATTCTATCTCCTTCTAGGAACTGTGCCTGCCCCAGGCCAGACTCTGAATCCAAAATACATTTGACTTATTATAAATGGTGATAGTAGCTTTATTTTTTTTGGAGTTTGATGTAGAA